CTTCTTGTCGTTGAGCAGCATGCCGTTCACCTTCTCGATGGCGTCGTTGGCCGCCTTCTCGGTCTCGAAATGGACGAAGCCGTAGCCCTTGGAGACGCCGTTCTCGTCGGTGGCCACGCGGCAGCTCATGATGTTGCCGAAGGCCGAGAACGTGTCGTACATGGCCTTGTTGTCGATCGACTTGTCCAGCGACTTGATGAAGATGTTGCCGACGCCGGAGCGGCGCAGCGACGGGTCGCGCTGGGACCACATGATGCGGATCGGACGACCCTTCACCACGTCGAAATTCATCGTGTCCAGGGCGCGCTCAGCTGAGAACAGAAGAAAACAGGCAAGCTCGTCAGACAAAGTCAACAAAGTCGATTGATGCCGGTATAGAACATAGCGCGATGGATGATAAAAAATAATCTCAATTCAAGGAAACCATCTGCACCAAGAGTTTGATATCCAATCTAGTCTGATATTGGTAGGTACGAGTGTAAGCTGTAGGAACAATAAAACCACGCCAGAAGCCGGTTCAAATCTAAAAAAAAAACGTCCAGCCATCCCGATCTATCAGGCTCTGTTAGCACGACCAAGGGTCCGACCTGGTCCGACCGACCTGAGTAATTGAGCTCAACGCCAGAAGAGCAGGCTCCAAATTCTCATCACATAAACAGCCGCCCATTGCATGATGAAAAATGAAGCCTGATATAAACATGAACTAGTTCGTAGTTCGTTTTGTCCGCAACAGTGAAGTCACATGTGTAGTTGCACGGTAAAATGTTAGTTGCACGTCCCAGATTTATATAGGTACGTCCTGTGCTTAGCACTGGTACATAAAAAACACATCTTTCGGTTTTGTTTTTAGGCCTGGAAAAGATTTTGTGCTAACACCAAGAACACGAGTCATTAATGATTTATAACAAGCTGCATTCATCAATGAAGCGAAACCCTTTCAGGCAAATTTTGCCGAGCGGATGCTCACTATTGACTCAAGTCAGTCATGTGCATGGCACAATGTGCATTGTCCATGCTCCATATCAGACGCGACGAACAGCGTGGTAAATCTTGCAGCGTGCTGAAGATTTAGTACCAAATCCGCTTCACATTACTTTCAGAGCAAACGCGCAAGACGTTAGAGTCACCACTCGAAAATTCAGTTAATTTCGATAAATCGTACCAGACGCCGGTGTCATAGCATTCCCTTCCCAAATGCAATCCCTTCGGATTGCATTTGGCCCATTATGATCTATGGTAGAAACCTTTCATATTGTGGCGCCGTACTTCACGTATGTGCATGACTTTCCCATTATAAGGCGTCTAACTTAATATACCGCGTCTAATGACCAGGGCCCAAACGTGACTCATTCTAAGCGTAAGTCACGCCGATCACCCCTCCCCACCCCAACCCCACTCCATCACAGGTGCCGGCGGCTGTCCCCACGCGGGGCCCCAGCTGTGGCCGCACCGGGCCTCTCGCCGCGCCGTGCGCCGGGAACTCGGTGGCACCGGTCAGCCCGGTTAGAAAGTCGCGGTGGAACCGGCCCGGCCCGGTCGGAGAAAGCGCTGTGGCCTGTGAACGGGCCGCCGTCACGGGCCGCGGGCCCGGCCAGATCGCCCGGCGGCCGGCCGGCCAACTGCGCCGCAGCCGTCACGGCCGGGACGGCAGGGCAGTGGCCAGAGGCAGGCGATCGAGCTGAACGGGACAGCTGTCCGTCTGTTTATGCACCTGGACAAGAACGATAATAAATTTGTGCGTAAACTATGAACGCAACTTTTTGCGCTAACTTGATATTCTATCCCTTCCAAAAGGCCAATATTCGACTCTTGAATCAAAAAGCTGCACATGCCAGCAGCCATATGAACTGAACTTCGTCACACTAAGCAAAACACCCGAGCATTATCACTGGCTCCGACGCTCGGGGGCCCAGGTATTGTGGTGAAATGCTGAACACTCCATCCATGGTAGGATTATGCAAGACGTTACCAGGCAGTGCCACGAAGGTGGTGCAAGCTGCGGGCCACGTTCTCTCCCAGCGGGTCGACCGGTGACGAAATTGGAGCGCGACGAAACGTTAGATAGACCGCGTGCACAAACCACAGCTTGGCAGACCTTTAGCTAAATAAAAACCTGACATACCGGAAGTTCATTACACTGAAATTAATAGATTTTAGGAAAACTCAGTGTTAGTCAGCCATATATTTCTTAATTCCTTCTTAACATTTTTTTAAATTTAATTCTAGAGGTATGCCCCATTGATAATCTTTTAACACACATACGCCTCTAAGAGAAACCCTATATGGAACTATCATTAATCAGAACATTGCACACCTTCCTATGTATTAATGCTAAATGATCACAAATCTGTCCCTCTGGTGACCTGCTTGCAGCAAATGAAGGGTGAAGTGATTTTTTTTAGAAAATGTTCATCCATTCACTTTTCAAGGCTTAGAATCATATAAACTAGGTAAGTGCTGAGTGCTACCTCTGCAGCATTGTGATGTGCCAGGCCAGCATCAAGCTAGTATGCCAATGTGCCATAATATTCTGCCAGCAATCACATGTTTTGGAAACACTCACCACTGCAGCAGCTGTTTTTAGGATTAATGTGCATGAGTAATGACCTGATATAAAAAAGCAACTCAAGCAAGAACCAGCAAGAACATAATGAGGGGGAGCTGAAAAATTCAGGGAGAGATACATTTCATTTTCCTTTGAAAGTATTTGGCTCCATTGGGAGCCTTAGGCCAAGAAGGCATACTTTTGTTGAGTGGGCAGTAATGGAGTGAACAATAAGAGCAGGGAACATCATTGAGAACCAGCCAGGAAGCATACAATTGTGACTTATCCTCTACCAGGTTACCAAACTCCTCAGTGGAATGGATCTGCCTAACAATCTCAACCAGACTTACTGCAGTAAATAGCAATATTGCATTCACACGTGTTTATATGTAAACATTTGGGTACTAAGTGAGCTGTGAAGTGTTAAGTGAGTCTTGAATTGATTGATTACCACATTGCCAAGTCCATAGCCACATATAGAAACATTTCACAGCTCTGGACCCAATCATTATCAATATACCTACCCATCATGCCTACCTATTCTTTTGCAAATATGCCTTACAATGCAATGCCTATTTTGAATTTGGAATACCACTTGAGCCTAAAGCACTTAGATTTCTGCAAAATTATTTGCTTTATTTCATGCAAATACAGAATTTGTGATGCTCCTTCAGCTTTTAAGTGCAAAAACAAATAGGCATATTCTTCTTTATTGCCATGACAGCAAAGAAGGGATTTTTTTTTTGAAGATAAGGTTGTTGATAAATAACAAGGCAGCACATTACTCACAAAAGAAATTTTTGGCAAAGGATGAAGCAATAACTAATGGAAGCCAGCAGCATTTGGCATTGAATTATATCAATTGTATTGCTGCTTAGGGCCTCCTCAACTTGTTATTTAATTAAGCACCAAAGCCCAATTTTTAGGTTGCTCCTGGAAAAACCATTGAAAATAGTAGGTAATTTTTCACCTGCACTCTTGCCTCCTCACAAAACATCATTACAAGCAGCCCTACAAATTAAGCCAACAATTTAAACAGCACTGAAACAAACAGACAGCCATTGTTTCAGCCTAAATTCAGCATGGTAAAGTGACAGTTTTATGACACATTGTGACAAATGTGCTTATTGATATAGCCACATAATAGCAATGCAGAGCAGTATCCGCATAAGCCACAATAAGCAGCATTATTCCAAATCCATAAAAAGAACAGTTTGACTTACCGTCAGCCGACTGCTGGAAGTTCACGTAGGCGTAGCCGAGGGAACGACGGGTGATCATGTCCCTGCAAACTCGGATGGACAGGACAGGGCCAGCAGTCGAGAACTTCTCAAAGAGCATGGCTTCAGTTACGTCCGGATGGAGATCCCCGACGTACAGGGACGCCATGGGATAGTTTGGGCCGGCCGAATTCATGGTTTGATGACTTGGTTCGGAGCTACACCACAATTATGTTTAAGGGTTTTATATTTTCTGATTTTTTTTGTATTTTTTAGCACAATATGGGTAGGCGAAGTGCGCGAGAACACACGTCCCGCGCCACAGACGCCTTCGACACACAGAGGAACAAAATGAAGGAGAGAGCTCGGACTTAGGGCTTCCATATCCAGCAGCGGTGTAATCTGGTAGCATTTGGCCTAAGACCTTGGCGGTTTTCACCATGCTTTTATATTTTAGAAATGCAACTTTTGATTAAGTTCCCAACATTTTGCATTTGTTATTTCTCATTGTTTGAAATTTCTTAGATTTGGATCTATTTTGTGAATAAAATGGCAGAACACTTTTTGTCAATTAGTATTTTTCAACGGAAAGCGGGTTTGACACTATAAAACTTCGAGGTCTAACTTTAGCCTAGTTTCAAGGTTTTAATTGATTGTAATGGTATCTTAGAGCAATGACAATGTTTAAATATTTCAACGAAGCTTGATTGCACAAAATTATGCTAATGAAAGTGATTATAATCAGACACCGTCTCCTGTTCATCAGGCTTGGCGCACCCTTGGCCTTTTCAGTGGTGCGCTATCGCCCCCCTGAAGGGCCTCCTCCCTCTTCCGACACGTGGTGCTCCGGGCTCCGGCGGCATGTGGCGCGCAAGGCCGTATGTGGCGCGTAGATTGTGACCCGCGGGTCGGACTCATACGTCAAAGGGCGAGTTCAAGGGGGTCCCCGGCGAAGTCTGTCGGGCGCAATGCAGGACCGGCAAGGGGCATTTGGGGGAGGGATGAGCACCCGTGACCCATTCGGACACAGTTATAACCGATGACTCACAAGTCACACTACTCGTGTGACATGGGGATTTCAGTCCACGGTCCCAAGGCGAGGCGACGAACTCCTGGCGCCCTTCCCATCCAATCCGAAAAGCGACACTGGTCGCACAGGTCGTACCGGCGATCCCGGGTTGCGTCATACTGCTGTCTCTCCCGATCAGGCGGAACAATAAAGAATTACGCAGTTATTCGACAACTGAACACGTTTATTTCCTCACTCCACGGAACAAATGGGCATTTCAATCACTAGCCGCCAAATTACGAGATCAATCGTCCGGTCATGGGTACGAAAGCTAGCTCTTTGCGTGCTGTGCAAGCAGTATCCAAGCCTTATCCACCGCCACCGCACTCGGCTCAGCCGGACTCTCCAGATGACGTCACCAGGAAAGCCATGACGTCACTGACTCGTTTCCATTGGCGGTGAGTCTGAAAAGGCAGCGAGAAAAGGTGAAGGTCACACACAGTTCAGGTGGCGCTTTAAAACCTTCGGAACCCGGCCAGCCCGGCAGGCCCGCTTCTCTCCGGAGAAGGGCCTTGCCGGGCTGGGGTGGCCAAGGGGATGGCCGGCCATCCCGCGACCGGGCGGGGTGGTAAGGAGCAGAGGTGGAGATATCGGGGGGGGGGGGGGTCGGGGATCGGGGGGGGGTCAGGATTCCCCCTGAAAACGAATTACTGCTAAGTAAGTCAATGGTACTGCATCCAGCCCGCCTCAATCTGCCCGGCCTGGACCCCCCTGACATTTTGACAGATCTCCACCCCTGGTAAGGAGGGGGGGGGGGGGCGTACGACGACCTTTCATCTGCCACTAACATCCATGGTCCCTACAGCCTACAGGCTACGATTTTTTTTTTCATTTCATCCGGCGTCCACCTACCTACACACAAACCCGCCACCTCTCCCATCCCCACCCCTCCCCAGCCATCCCTTCCGTTTACCTACCGTCATACACATTGTCTTCATCCAGCCAGTGAGGGTTGCACTCGTCGGAACAGGCCTCGGCAGCCAGCAGGTCCACCGCGTTCGGGGCGGTCAGCCAGTCGTCTGTCCCGTCGGCCGCAGAGCCGCCGTGCTCCAGGCCGTGCTCCGAGCCGTGCTGTCGGTCGAACCGCCCGCCGTAGACCGGGTGATGACGCGATCCATAGTCCCCGTCTGACTCGTCATCGTACGGTGGCCGTGTGTGGCACTCTGTGCCAAACGGGGGAACGTCGGGATGGAGCCCGGGCCGCCGATGACGGCTACAGGGAACGGTGGGCTCTCGTCGGAGGACGTCGGAAGGGAAGGCCGCTGTGGGCGGCGAAGGCGGCCGAGGCAACGACAGGAAGCCCGGGCCGGTTAGGTCTTGGTTGTTCATAGGTGCCATACCATCTACGCAGAAGTCACTGTCGAGGAAAGGGTACAGGATTGATAAGATTTGATGCTAAAGTCACTGAGAAATGCTGATTGCTGAATGAATATAAATATTCGCACAATTTAGCGGCAATGTAAAATCGTAAACAACCAATGTTAACCCAAACATAGGAATATTTATTCAGATAATCCAGAGAACAAATAGACAGAAAAACAACAGCCCACATACGGTGAGTTCAGTTCATAATCTGATGTAAAGCTACTGACAGACTTATCAGGAAACGTGACCGTCTGTCACCGTTCTCAGTGCTGACGGACACCACGCAGGCCGTCCGGCTGCTACCCACCCCGGTGTCGCTGTCGTCTGTTTCGGCTGTTGTAGGTGGCGCTGCAGGGCTGCCAGGACCCTGACCGGCAGCTCTGGCATGATCTGAACGAGCCGTCCGAGCGGAGCAGCGCGCAGCTGCTGCAGCCCTCCGGCCCGCCGGAGCAGGAGGCCCGCAGAGACGGCGTTACACGCCGGCAGCTGCAGCAGAAGCCACTCGTCCTCTGTGCACTGGGCGTCGGCGGAGGGCTGGAAGTCGTCTGACCGTCCGTCACCCGCCGATCCCGCCTGGCGGACAGATAAGGGCGGCTGGATGTAGGTACTTTCATATTGATAACGGAGGGGGACACGACGTGCTCATAACTCAGCCCGCGGGTGGTTACAACAAAAGGGCTTCAGCACAACACATGATGTACATAAGTCAGTTCACAGTTGATATTACTTTGGAAATTATTACACGGATTCGTTCTCCATTTGCGATTTCTACTTGCTCGTTAAAGCTATGACTGTCGATGAAAAGCAGAATAAATACATTCCTCTGCAGACTGCAGTCTGCAGCCATGAAATGGAACCTTCCTTTCCACAATCCACGACATTTTACATGTGCATACTACATAGGCAGCAATTTGGTCGATATATTGTTGGGGAATGTCACGATAATCTCCAAAAATTCCGATTTACCGGGGCAGGTATACTCGGCATATCTAAAACGATTTCGTTCCTGGCTAGCCAACTGTCATTTTATATAACTATTCTATTTTTACCTAACTATAAGAGGCGCATTTCTGAAGTCTCTCCTTGACCCACAGAGATACTTGTTGGGATATCCCACACAAATCCCATCTAAGAAGAGAAATGTCAGGACGCTCCGGTTGCCCTCGGGATGTCCCTACCGGCAGCGCGGGGAAGGATGGGATATTCGGGACGCCTTACGCCCGTACAGTGTCACATTTCCAGATACCGCCCCAATCTCAATCGAGGGTTGCACTGTGTGCAGAAATCCCGGGTGGGATGTGTGCACTGTGTGCAGAAATCCCGGGTGGGATCGAGTGGGACTATCTGGCTGGGCAAAAAGGTCGTTTATCGGTTTTGTCCTTATCATAAACATTCATAAGGAATCCGAAAGAAACACGAATGCCAGCTACGGTCGATCGACCGACAGCAACAACAACGGCGTATTAGCACTCGCGAATTGATACAGCGCAATTAAAAGTGGCTAATCAAAAGACTTCTTCGTGATAGGTTGCGCTAATGGAATACAAAGAAATTTTTTTGAAAATGCATGGATCTTTGTGTTGGGGATGGGATAGCTACGAATGGTTGCGACGGTTCAACAGCCAATTCAGGGTTGTGAGCAACGGTAAATGTTCGTCATCGCGGGCCCCACTCACAGTGATTGACATACCAGAACTGAAATGGCTCAGTTTTTATTGCCGTATATGAAATATGAATAGCATGCCATTTGAGCCTGAAATAAAGTACAAAAGGTTAAGCATGTAGTGACATTCCATGTACTCAGTACTCAGAGCTCGTACTCAGAGCAACTATGCTTTATTAAAAGTTATTGTCACGCTAATAAAGAACCCGCGCCAGAATGTCGCCGCCCATCCGATAACTGTCACAAACAAACACATGAACAGTACATAATGTGGCGGCCCGTGTTTGCATTTATCGACAACAAACAGAACTGAACAAACGATTAAACTACACAGTAAGCTTGTGGCATAGTCCCATTCATCAACGAAATTGATAGGGTGCATAGGTCCAGGCTGAGTGTGCCATAATAATAGTGGAACTACGCACAATCACTTATCACAATGTCGACTCGCAGACCACACAGTACCCTCTCTCTTTCTTCACCATATTCTCCCTCTTCAGCCTCAGCATACTGCCTCGAAAAAGTAAAACGCCTCTGCTCAAAGTCCTAAACCTCCTGCCTCCCAGAAAACCCTCTCGTGTTCCCCTCCTCTCTCCCTCCCATCCTTGCCTCTCTCCCTCCCCGCCCGTCTCACCGTCTCGCTGGTCTGCTGCACGATATCCAGGACGATGTGCACCACGCTGTCCTGATCGGCACGCACCAGGCGCAGCGTATACTCGGGAAGGTGAGCGGCGGAGGCCAGCAGGGCCCGCAGCCGACCCACCACCGCCTCCTCCCGCCTGCCGAGATAGAGGCATAGAGACTTAGAGACACAGAGACTTAGAGACACAGAGACTTAGAGACACAGACACTTAGAGACACAGAGACTTAGAGACACAGAGACTTAGAGACACAGAGACTTAGAGACAGAGACTTAGAGACACAGAGACTTAGAGACACAGAGACTTAGAGACACAGAGACTTAGAGACACAGAGACTTGGAGACACAGAGACTTAGAGACACAGAGACTTCGATACACAGAGACTTAGAGACACAGAGACTTAGAGACACAGAGACTTAGAGACACAAAGCAGAGACTTAGAGACACAGAGACTTCGATACACAGAGACTTAGAGACACAGAGACTTAGAGACACAGAGACTTAGAGACATAAAGACTTAGAGACACAGAGACTTAGAGACATAAAGACTTAGAGACACAGAGACTTAGAGACTCAGAGACTTAGACACAGAGACTTAGAGACACAGAGACTTAGAGACACAGAGACTTAGAGACACAGAGACTTAGAGACAAGAGACTTAGAGACCAGAGACTTAGAGACACAGAGACTTAGAGACACAGAGACTTAGAGACATAAAGACTTAGAGACACAGAGACTTAGAGACACAGAGACTTAGAGACATAAAGACTTAGAGACTTAGACACACAGAGACTTAGAGACACAGATACTTAGAGACACAGAGACTTAGAGACACAGAGACTTAGAGACATAAAGACTTCGCGACATGGAGACATAGACCTAGAGACAAATAGAGAAGCCTGCGGAGACATCAGAGAAAACCATAGACGGCAGGGAGACACTGACGGTTAGTGGTGAGTCTCTGAGTCAGACGCAGACAGAAACAGGACGGACAGAGGCGGTACGAGCACAGACGAAGAGAACCGGCGAGTCTCTGAGTCAGACGCAGACAGAAACAGGACGGACAGAGGCGGCATGACCAGCGCTTAGTCCGGAATCGAAGTCAGAACAGGACTCTCAGCCATCTTCTGGATCTCGTACCTAAGTGTATGGTGCGCGCTGTGGAGGTTAGTTGAGTGGTGGGCAGTTGGCATTGCGAGCAAAAAGGCGATTAGAGGACCCCGGAATATTGCAATGTAGTTCATTTATTTGACATGAGCATTGGCATGTCTACTGCAATGAAAAACGTCAAAATGTAACTAGTTATGCTAGTCGAAGCTCCCTTTTAACCAGACAACGTAGTTCCAATCTGCAAAATGGCGATGTTCGGTCAAGAATAACCCTGCCTGTGCCATATGTATACATGTACTATCCAGCGCGTTTCGCTTCACTGAAGGCTATATCAGAACTGCGTCACGATGCAGCTGATAAGGAGCCGGGGCCGGTGAACACGGGCCACAGTCTGGCCACAATGCGCTGTCGTGCCACCATGATCAGGCAAGCCGTGAGTGAATTACAACGAACGCTGGTAGGTGATCACCATAAACACCATCAACATTCGCAGCTGTTTATTAGGCTCATGCGACTCTCAAATCGAGGACACATATGAAAGAGTTTGCACAAAGCGTTTCGCTTAAAAAGTTAAGCCGAGGCACCGTTGCACGCACTTAACGAAAATATGCCACTTTTAACATGGGGCTTGAACTGGAATAGCAGTTATGTAGCTTGAGCTGAGACTAGCACAAATCGGGAGCTTTTACGGCCCAACGATCACCTTAAGTAGATATTCCATTCTCGTTCCGAAAAGATTGCCTTGTGCAAGCATGTTTCACTTGTAGAAGAATGTCAAGAAGCCAGCCAATTGGTTTGCCTGAAGTCTTTTTTGCCCCGCAACCCAATATGCCATTTGCGCCGGTGTAAACGGAGCGCCGTCGGAACAGGGGATTTGGGTCGATATGATGGCTTCATTCGGTTGCCAGTCTTTGCCCTGGCGCTTCGGAGTTGGATGGTTTCGGACTGCCAAGTCCGGCTCAAATCCGGCCCACTGCCACGGCTCAAGTCCGGCTCCCTAAAAAAAATACATTTCAACTCATAAGGCTGTACTCACGGCTTCTATGCCTTTATCATTTTCCGCGGTAAAAAGTGACTGCATCCGAAAAAAAATGCTTACGATTACCATTTAATCGCCGCATTGAAGCATGCCCTCATTTCCAGAAGTTCATATTTAGTGCACGCAGTGCATCGAGTCGCCATGCAGTGATGGTTAACTGAATATTTGATACCATGCGCGGTAACGACCGTGGCGGCGGGGCAGGGCGGGTCAGGCCGCACGGCTGCGCCCATTCCACCGGTAATTAACCCACCGGTAACGCTGCCTGGCAGCGGTCCGCACTGAAAGCCACGGCGCCGCGGCTGTCGTGGGGCACACACGACTTACCGGCACCGGTTAATCACCGACATTCACGCAGCGGGTGCACCGCCGACAAATGCCCCGGGGCACGCGGTCGGCCGGCCGGCCCGTGTCTCGCGGGCGGTCAACACGGGTCAGGGCGGTCAATAGTAGCGGGTCAACCACGGGTCAACAGAGGTCGCACGAGCGGTAGCAGCGGGTCAGCCGGTCGATATTAGCGGTCAACGCGGGTTAGATAGATGGTCGATAGTAGCGGGTTAACACGAGGTCAGACGATCGATTTAAGGTCAGTTCACGTCAGACTCAGTTTTAGCGGGCCATCAGAGACCAAACGGCGATATTAGCGGATCGCACGAGTCAGTCAGTCAAAACTAAGAAAAATATACGCTAGGCAACGTCCCCAAAGGGAGAGTGAGGATTAACTGGGCCAGCTGAGTGCGTGAAGTCTGACAACCGTGCTGTGCTTGTCACTGACATCTAACCCGGAGTCGGCGTCTCAAACCGATGACAATGACAAATATATCACTGACCTAGTGTCAGTGCCAATGTCACTGACTGGTGTCGGTATCGGCGGCGGCGGCGGCGCGGCGGCGGCCCACCACCCCAGCCAGCAGAGCGCCGCCTGTTGCTGCAGAGCGCGCACCTCCGCCGCCAGCCGCTGGCCGTCCGAGGGGGACGCCAGGTCGGCCAGGGAGCGCACCAGCAGACAGGAGTCGGCGGCCAGCACCAGATCGGGGAACGGGCCGGCAGAGAGCCCGACCAGCCGGCTGGGACGCAGCATCCCCCGGGTCAGAGCTGATGTCGACTCGGACCGGGTCAGATGAGGGGCATAGTGCTGCGCCACCCGATTACATCTCTGGATATGGGGCCTTCCCTTCCACCACCTGTAGTGTCTGGGTACCTCCCTTTCCACCTGGAATCCCTGGATCCCTTGCCTGCTCTACTATAGTCTCTGAATCCCTCTCCTTTCTACCTGTAATCCATGGATTCCTTCCATATCCTGTAGTCTCTAGATCCCTCCCCTACCCACCTGTAATCTCTGACGTGGGCGGTGACAGTGTGACCGGAGAGCTCCTCCAGACGCCGCAGACCCCAGCGTTCGGCAGCAGAAGCACAGGCCACCACCGAGACCGGCTGGCCGGCCGGCGGGGGTCCGGGCGGCGGCGGTGCAGGGGGAGGGGAGACGAGCACTGAGGAAGGGGAGACAGTCGTGAGACGGGGTAGTAGAGGAAGCGCAGGACAGTGAGTATGGAAAGAAGCCAATGGTTGAATTTCATACAACAGCGGTGGTTTAAGGTTTCTTTGCGCGATGTAAGTATATATGTATGTACAGCTATAGCCTATATAGGTGTGTGCCTACTCGTAAGTCATGATCCTTGAGCACTATTGCCGCCGCGTCATTAATGCGTAAAAAATGTATGTATAAGTGGATGACTACAGAAGGACGTGCCGCCCTTAGAGGTTGTGCAGTGCGCACTGTTCAGTGTGCAATTTATCACGCAGGTCAAATGAGACACTCTAGTCTCTGTGCCTCCAAGGTCACCACAGCACGGCTTAACCAAGGTATATTGAATTGAGGCGCTGAACTGCATGATAAGCGACACAGTCTAGTCTACTTCAGCTAACTGATGACTTGTGGCGTTGGCGTTATGCAGTGATCCATGCATACATAACGCAAAGACATCCAACTATCAACGGACAAACAAAATATGGTCAGTACCGGCATCAGGAAATTAGCATAGATGCCATCACAATCGGCCAGACAAATAGTTATTTCTCACGGTGAATTACCAACAGTAAACCATATAAGATCGCGCTTAACAGCACTGCTATCACAAAATTACTAATATTTTGTTAACTGCGCTACAAAAACTTCAAGTTCGGCTTACCGACCATTTTACCAAACAGTCATAAATAATAGACACAGTCATGCATAATAGATGCGTGTGGACTGGAATCGTTTCCGTGACGGGGCGCCCAGTGAACGTCGCAGGCACGGTAGGTGCCGGCCGCACGTGTGGCCAACGCAAAGAGGGTATGGTAGGACGCTATAAAGCGAGGTGGAAGTGACAGGACAGAGCTAAACGTGACTAACGCTAGTTTAGAAATGACGCCGGTAGGCCACCTTAGAATGAATTGTAAAGCCCTCTGCCAACTGCGTGGTGTGGTGGGTATTCTTTTTCGACAAAACCGAGAATAACGCGGAAACTATGCTATCGGTCACCCGGAAATCGTAACAGCAAGACGCGTGAGACTCCGCACCTTGGATTGGCATTACCATATCGTATTCATTCCATCCAGTTTGGCAACAACACCCTAAAGTTCATATTCGCCCCGAAAAAAACTTTTGCATTTTGCTGCACACAAGGCATATACTTTGTTTAGTGAAATACCCAATCGAAGGAGTGGAGCCTTTATTTGCAGTGAGTTCCGACCGACTGAAAACACAGTCTGAGTTATTTCCGGTTTTGTCGAAAAAAAAAGAATACCTACCACGCAGTCTGCTGAGGGCTGTACATGAATAGAATGCGCATAGACTGCGACTGTCGACGACCAGCACCCGTGGCTGATTAATCGGGGTCCTCACGGATCCTGTGGAACATGGCAACGACAAGGCCCTATATGGCGACACGAGCAAAATAAATGGTAAAGCTCGCCATACATTTGTCGATCGCAAACGCGTTGCGTGGGAGGGTGTGCCCAAGTATAAGCGATACAACGAGCGCGGACTTATTTGTGATACGACCCGCTATGTCGGAAAATGACCAAAATAGTCCAGTGCGGCTTTTGTTCCTTTCTTCAGCCGACCAATGGTGTGAATTGCTGGATAGATTGTCACCGGTTCCCCATACATTCCGCTCATATAGAGCTATAGCATTCGTTGTATCACCTTGTTTTAGTTGCGTCACATGGTACCGGAACGCCAGACCTATCCATTGATATCATACCTTGGTCACGAATAGCACATCACCAGGCAGCGTATCAGTCATAATGTGGCGACGATGAGGGGGCCGACAAAAAGGACGAGCTATTGGAAACTGACGATTTGAAAGGAAATGGGAATGTCCCTTGTCCCTTATCGGTTCATTCGTCATGAAAACTATAGCTACGATGGCAGAATAGGGTCAAAGAATTTCTATTCACAATGGCCTGTGCTTGCTCGAATGATATACCATTACCAATGGTTACGAAGTGGAAGCATGTATTCGCAGGTCAAATCACAAAAAAATGGGTTCATCTCACTTTGACAGGACTTTTTATAAAGCATAGCAAGTAGTACAGCGTAACTTGTTTGAATCTAACTAGGTCATTCGGACAACAGACAGATATACGTCACTCGTAGCCCGTAGGCTTCGAAAAAAGCGGCAAAGACACGCAGATAGGCAAATAATGGTTGCTAACTGCACTCCTTTTCGTCATTTTACACAGCATCAGCGACCAGGCTAGAAGCGCCTATTGCTACGCCCCAGCTCCTGCTGAACGTTTCCACGACCGAAAGAACCTGCAAGTTTGTCTTGGAATCGGCAATAGCGTTGTCACCTATGGTTTCCTGCCTCCTGGAATGTCAAAGCATAACGGGTGCCGTTTCTGTACAGTGGCATACCGAATGCCGCTTTTAAACCGTCGATTTTCATGCATTAATTTGTTTTGGCGGGTTTGGCTCTTTCCGCAATAAGGTGACTACTAAAGAGTCAGAGTCAAACGATCAAATGATGAGAGGGCGTCGTGATGAGAAAAAAAAACTTAACCAATGCAAACGCACAATCAGTCACAATTAAAAACCGAAATTCGTACCAATCGGACCACTGCTGAACACAACGCTGCTGCACCACGTATACGAGTAGGTGAAGCTCTGCTTTGAAGGCCGATCTCGTATGAGGAATTTGAATAATGTTAACATTGACGATAGCTAACCACGCTTGAGGCGATAAGGACAAAACATTGTAGCTGCACAACGGCTCCTTCTCGCCGCGTGCCCTACGCCGTGCGTCTGTCCCTGTCCGAGACACCGAGCGTCTCATTCGCGTGTCTCGTTCCAGTGTTTCACCGGGTGCCTGTGTCCCTCGGCCTCCTCGCCGATTTTCTCTGCCGGGTGTCTCAGTCCTCCCCCTCCCTGCTGTATCCTCAGTGTCTCACCGTGTCTCTCCGGGTGTCTCAGCGCCTCCCAGTCGGGCCTCACGGGCAGACAGCGGACAGCCACTGAGGAGGCACGGCACCGCTGTACCAGTGGACCAGCGGCAGCGGGAGGCAGCAGCGGCACGAGCAGCGCGCAGCGGGACAGCGGCCAGCGCGTCGGCACCTCAGCGCCGCAGCTCAGCACCAGCACGGCGCGCTGACGCAGCCGGTCACAGGTCAGCAGAGGGGCCCGGTCAGGTCGGTTAAGACTCTTATATGAACATATAACACAGCGACATGTCCGCTAGAAGGTAATAAAACAACGATCAATTCAAATAAAACGGCATGTTAAAAACAGGAAACATTACTAGAATATTCTGTCCAGCTCCAGTGTAATTAAACATCACCCCACAACTTCCACCACCTTCTTATCAGCGGTAACTACAACTGTACCATGTCATCCATCACAGCTCTGCGGTTCCTGCCCGCTGCCGTGTAACCTAGCATGACCCGTGAGTTATGGGCCGCTGTGAGTAATAACCCAGCTGTGAGTTATGGGCTAATGCATGGCACACTAAAAAATGGTCCGCTCG